TTGACAGAGCCTACAAGGTTGTCTATTTGTGGGCCAAAAGTCAAGTTTTCGTCAGCTACAATACCCAAGTAGCGAGCAGACTACGTGCGAGGAACATGGACACCATCAATGGTAACATAGGCAGACATCGGGACATTTTTTGGGGATTTTTATGTTTTTCTTTTGGCTAGTTGTTGAAACTTATCTGGACTCAGTGTTTCGGGTGATTTCTCTGAGGGGAGGGCCATGTCTCATTGGCCTTGGCTCTCTCCTCCATGGTCGAATGGCCGTGGCTGTGTCGGCGACGACGAGGACCGTAGGGTAACCAACCCACATCGTCAGAGGCAATAGTGGTCGCCCGCCGTCGCGGCCTGCCCCAGTCCCTGTAGGCGGAGGGATGCCGGACATTGAGGGTGTACTGGGAGCGATTATCTGCAAGCTGGAACTCTCAGCTACTTCAGTTTGGTCGGCAGAGGATGGGGTATTGGTCTGTATTTCCTTGGATTCCCGTCGCTGGTTGTGTTCTCGGATGCACTGGCGCTGTTCATTCCAGCAGTTTTCTGTGTTGCGTCCTTGCTAGTACAGGTCCTCCGTCATTATAACGAGTCCGGTTAGTACATAAACCCCATTAGTGAACCAAAGCATATTGCCTCTGTGTATTCTTATATCTATACATCAAGTATTACAAAAGAACTGAGAGGCTTTGAATCGTTTTTATCAAAATCAAAATATTTGCCGGGTTGGAAGGTGGGAATCATCATCATTCGAACAGCCTCTTGTACGGGCAAGCAAAAACGCTTAAGCAAAAACGCAATACATCAAAATTCAATTAAAATGAAAAAGGAGAGGAAAATGAACACAAAGTGCACTGGAACTCAATATAAAAAGGAACACAAAGTGCTGTTGAACACAATGAGCATGGGGCCACCAATCGGAGAAGACCGGCTTATAATGGAATAAAAGAACAAACATAAAAAAACTTAAGACACCCGTACACATCAACGTGCTCTAAGGGTATGGCAGCTTGTTAAAAAGCTGTGGCGCTGGCGCTTGTATGATGCCCGCGAACCACGTATGCAAGTAATACACCAGCGGAGCAACCACAGCGACAATACAGATCGAAGTTGTCCCATGACTACAGAATAATGTAACTCAGGATTTTTCTCAACAACAAGCGATACCAAATTTTTCAAAAAACGAGACCCCTCTGGCCCACACATGCCTGAAGTTGAAAAAACTATCATCATCATCATCATCATCATCATCATCATCATCATAATCATCATCATCATCATCATCATCATCATGTGGCCAAGCCGCTTTTACGGGCAACAATATTATGAATATGAAACGCAAGGTATTGTAAGAGCAATTTTCTGAAAATAATGTTAAAACACGAAATAATTTATAGAAATGCATTATCACACCGTAGCCACTTTTATGGGCAAATTCCAATACAAGGCAATAGGAACACGAGGATGAAGTTAACCTTTTAAAACCCATCATCATCATCATCATCATCATCATCATCATCATCATCATCATCATCATCATGATCATCATCATGAGCCGTGCTGCAACTGCCAGATTGGTCGCAAATGTGTTAGATGCAGATGTGTTCGTGCGAAGAAGCGCTGTGTGGACTGCTACCCTGGTAGAGATACCCCTAGCCTTTGTCACAACCAAACTGAATCCATCGCCTCGCAGCCTGCTGGCGCTGTTGGCGCTGGTATTGTGGTCAGTGGTGGTGGAGGATGTTCAGCCAGCCAGCCATCTCAGCGAAACATATCACCGGAGGATAGCTCTGATGAATCCACTGCATCTGCAGATGAGGGTTGTGGCAGTGGCAGGCGCGATGTCGACTCCTGGCTGCGTGTAGATCACCCACTTGGGATTCATCCCAGCTCTGATTCCTCGCCATTCCCCCCAAGTGACATAGTCGAGTGCGGTCTAGCCAGCGCGGTGCCATGTTGTCGCTGCCAAGCAGGGGGTACGTGCATACGATGCGCTTGTGTCAGGGCTGGCAGAGTTTGTAGTAACTGCTATCCTGGGAGGGGTCGACTTGGCACCTGTCGTAATGTTGCTTCGGTGCCTGGGGTCCCGAGCTCTCAGCCCCAGATTATTCAGAGTGGCACCTCTGCTGCAACTGCATTGATTCCGACAGCATCTCAGGTTGACTTGCTTACCAGTTTGGAGGAATCTGACTCTGGTGCGCCACTGATGAGTGTGGATTCGGGCGCGGGGGGTACTGTACAACAGGCAGTGCATGGGGAGGATGACTCACGGTCCACTCTTATCTCATCCCAACCCCAGCTATGCCCATCTACGGGGAATATCGATTTGCAGGCTACGGGTTCTGGTCATGCGGATGTGGATCCATTTTCGCAGGTGCTTGGCTCGAGCCAGCCGGACGCTGCCTCTCCAGTTCCCACCACCCCTCGGGTCTCCATGCCTTTTGACATGGCTGACATCTATCAGGAGGTGGCGAGTTGGGAAAAGAACCTCTTCCGGGCTCCGACCGGCAGTGTTGGCAAAGAGTTTGTTCGGACACTCACGTCAGAACTTCAAAAGTTCAATTCGTCCCGAGGAGCGGAAGCCACTGCTCTATATCGTTTCTTCCTGCTTCCAGCGTTGGTGCTCCAGCGAGTAGGTCGGAATTGCCCTGCCGCAGAGTGCTCTGACCACACTCGTCGCAGACTAAATTTATGGATCCAGGGTTCCTATATGGAGCTAGTGCAGGAGGGTCGAACTATTCAGCATGTGCTCAAGACATCGCAGAATCGGAGATCCAGGCGTGGCGAAGACCCTGCTCATGAGTTTGGCCACTTGATGGAACAGGGCCGAGTTCACTGCGCACTGAGAATGCTGGATAATGCAACCAAGCCCAAGTGTGATAAACCGGTCTTGGGCATGGACGACATCATTTCTGATTCTCATCAATCCCAGTCAGTCCGTGAAATTCTCGTCGGGAAGCATCCGGGGTCGGCACCGGCAGCACCGGACATCCTGCTTCAGGAGGAGGCGGGCAATGTCAGCAGTATCTACTTCGCCAGCGTCAATGGTGAGTTGATCAAAC